CAACGGTTGCTGTACTTGACGTTTAGTGTCCACAAGGTGCAAAGCAAAATTTACCTTCTCTTGATGAAGTTCACAAGGCTCAAAAGGTTGAGCCATGGATTCGAAAGCTTCGACATGGGTTTGAAAATCCTGCATCACTTGTTGATGACTTACCATTCTGGCATTTACATTCTTAATATCACCTTAAAGATAGCCTTCTTTATTTTATAGGGACGGATCCTAATGATCCTTTATGGCTAGTGGTGCCTTTTGTCTTTATTCCACGGTTTCTTCATGCCTATCATGATTCTCTTATTTTAGGTGGGCATATAGAACATCATCGTGTGACCGAGAAGTTATACAGGTCTTTCTATTAGCCGAAGATACGACATGATATTATCCAATATGTGCATAGCTGCGTTTAGTGCCAAGCTCGTAATACTCCCTCTTGTGTTGTGGAAGGACGGTTGGAATCAATTGCAATTTCCCATCCATTTAAGTTGGTGGCATTTAATCTTATGGGACCTTTTCCATGGTCGACTGCTAGCGATGAGTATGTTATTATTGCTTCTGACTACTTGACTCGTTAGGTGGAGGTTAGTGCTCTTGTTAGTGCCTCTGCAATTGCTATGGGATACTTCCTCCTCAATTAAGTGGTGTTCTAGCATCCTTGTCCAAAGTAGATTCTTTCAGATAATGATCCCACATTTATGGTTGAGGCATTTCATGATATGCATATTTTTTATATTCCCTTTCTATATTCAAAGTACTCACACCTTCTTTATGATTTAGAGTTGATTGAACTTAATACAAAATTACTCTGAAAAGAAAATTTATTAAAGAAAATAAAACCAGAAGAAATCTTTACTAATGAGAACTTCAAATATAAAAATTAAGAAAAACATGTTAAAATAAAATTTGATATTAACATGTGTATAATATTTAATAAAACTTTAATAATTTAGTGAATATAGTTTAAAGTGATTTTTGTGATTTAAACATTATAATACTGAATCCATCTCTAGTTATAATTAAAATATTTTTAAAATTCTTAAATATAGTGATTATCTTTCTACTCATGCTAAAATTTATATATATTCATACAAGCTTTAAACAGGTGAAAAAATATTTTATTGCCTGCACTCATCTTGTGAAGGATTATTTAATGTAATATAATTTTGTGAGAATACTAACAATAATAACTAAAAACAAGATCATAAAAAAAACAAAAAAAATACATAAATTAATCAAAAAAATTATTTATATTTTAACAATAATAAATTCACTAATATTAGGTATTATATTGTAATGAAGAGTTTTTTACATATATGTTAATCATTGCAAATGCAACAGCATCAACTTTTTTCCCCAAGGGTTTAGCATTCTAAACCCACTTCTAAAGTTTTTAATTTTGAAATGCTTCAATAATCAATGAAAGTTTTTTTCCTCTAAGTTAAAATTAAAAAAATATTTTTCAAGTGTTAAATATCTCTAAATTCTTCAATTATATTGGTCTTTTAATCTTTTAGTTTCATTTTATAACTTTAAAAAATGTTTACATAATATAACTTTAAAAAAATAAAATTAAAAAATAAAAGTGATTGTAAACATTTTTATGTAATGTAATATGATAATATTTTATAAGAGGTCAATCAGTCGGAGCATCAGCCTCAAAGGCCGCTTGGAGAGAAACTTGCGCTGCTGGATAGACGAACACCAGAATGTTTTCCATTTTGGTCCAGAACTCGTTGGGCATCAGCTCCAGCACTGTGTCCACGACCACCTCCTCCGAATCCACCACTTGATGCATGCCAGCATGCAAACGCCACGGGATCGATCTGGCATACTCGAGCCCCACGGTGAGCCCTGCATCGTTTAACAATGCCACGACTCTGAAAGAAATAACAGTCACAAGTAAGTATTAGTTGACATAAGAAAAAAAGAAAAAGAAAAACTTACCCTGGAATGTTGAAAAACTCATTCCAATTTATTTTTCCATCGGCTGCGAGTGGTATCTCCACATCTGCTTCTCTCGCAAGCCTCACGCATTTCTCCCGAGCGGCCTCCCAGAGCTTTCGCAGAAGCACTCGCTCGACCATGTGCAATGCAGATAACCTCTGCCGCAATGCTGAGAGTTCACGGCCTTGGGCTGAAAGCTGACGACTCTGGTCTGTAAGTTCTTGCTTCAGCTTCGAAGTTTCCTCCTCCAGCTGCTCCTCGAGCTTTGCCACTCTCTCCGTGAGTTTGGTATTCTCCTCCTTAAGGCTCTCCCCTGAGTCCTTCTGCAGCTCCTGGATTTTCTCAGCTTGCTCTTTGTTCACCTTCATAAGCTTGTCCTTTGTGTTCTTGATCTCTTCTTTCTGGTTGGTGACTTGCAGGATCAACTTGGAGTTCAGATCTTTGAGTCTCGTGTTTGCGCCCTCCAGTCCCTGGTCTGGCTTGGGAACAACCCTGATGTAGTTCTGTCTGGCCCATGCCTCAGGCTTCAGCCTCGAGTTCTTGTAGCTAGGATCACTGATTTTGACCTCCAGATCTTCCTTCCGCAGGTTGAAACGTTTCGCTGCCGCATCCACCGCAAAACCAAAAGCGCCATCCAGAGATTTCTTCCAGTCACCCGCTGGAAGAGGCCATGCAGACAGAGTGCACTCCACGTAAAGAATCGGGACGGACGGACGATTCTCTCCAGGTGCAATATAGTTCCCTGCAGAAAAAAAGGAGGATTCCAGGACAAAGAGCTACCACAAAGTGACTTACCGCTGCTGCTGCTGCTCATCGCTCCTTTCGTCAAGAACCCTAAACGACTGGGTCATAAGATTACTTTTCATCTAACTCAATTTAGATTAATTTTAATACACTACCAAAATCACTTTTGTTAAAACTGAATTAATATCAATTATTATTAAACGTTATTAATTGAGTCTCTATGTTATTGAAACCGCCAAGAGACTTTGTCGAGAACAGGAACCCTTTTAACTGCGAGAAAGGTTTTAAATTGATAGAAATATGAAAAATTTGTATGTTGCCGTAGCAAGCCATCTTCTCCGCAACTTTACATAGGTCATCAAAACTGCTCATGAACTGCGTTGATAAATTCTTTTGCAGGCTTCCTGTCTCCAAAAATAAAAAGCTCACAAAACAATTTACAAATTACATAGTCTCTAACCTGCAACCATAGGTGAGAATTTGCCGACCAATGTCCTCATTCATATATAGTTCATCTATGTAGAAAATTTTACTGCTTTTACTTCTGTGTACAATGACTCTGGCTCGTTTGGGATCCACGCATCTTCTGTGAGTAGCTCTTGAGTAATATTTGTCTCAAACGCATGTTTGTGCTGTTTATCTAGGAGTACAAGTTTGTAGACGGACTGGTAGATGCTATAGCAGACGAGCTTATTTCTGTGGCAGAACCTGGAGAAGGTACTCAACTTGAAACTCTTTTTTTTCACTTCTCTATGAACGTTCTTTCCATTGTAGTCGATGAAGAATGCAACCGTTTCACTTGTTTGATGAATCTCGAGTCTCGGGTTCGTGATTTCTCGTTTCTCTATGCCTTGGGATGGACAGTGAGAGCGGGAGTATCTGGACGTCAGTGCCAAACTAAGTAAGAACACAAAAACCAAACCACGATTCATACATACACAATCTGGAATGGATGCCCTTGCCCAGGCCCCGGTTGAAAACGAGCCAACTAAGACGGAAACAAGATAAAGAAACACAAAGTTTGAGCATAAACATTTTCTTCCAGCAAACTTGAGAAAGAAGGGGAAGCTTTACCTATAAAACAGTTGCCGCAACAGCATCGCGTTCGCTTCTCCACCCACCAGGGATTTCAAAAGCGATAGAAACCCACGTAGTCTGCTTAAAAATGAAAGAGTTAAATCCATTTAGACTTCCAACAAAGAGAAAACGCAAAAAGGAAAGAAAGGAAAAACTCTTACATCACTCTCGCTTGAAAGGCGCCACTGGCCACTAACATACTCGGACTTCACAGGCTCTGGAGGTGCCACTTCTTTCTCTTTTTTTCTTTTTCTTCTTACGGGGTTGATTGGATCCACAGGCTGACATCTTGGTGGCAAGCGAGTTCTCGTTGGAAAAAACTGACTCGCGTGCTCTTCCTGCTTTCGTTATTCTTGTATTTTTTCTAACAGCAGGGAGATTTTGCAGGCAAACTAAACAGCTTCACGGATGGTTTTCGCTGGGTCTGGCGCCAAGCACGCTCTCGCTGGTGAAACCGTTGTTAGAGGACATGCCTCTGGTACCTGTTCTTTGATTTCCCACTCATGGAAAGCCGGGTTCCGGATGCTATCGGCAAGAAGCTCCACAATCTCGAAGCTTCACCCGTCTAAGACATATACCAGATATAGTTATAACATTTACATGTTTCAAGAGTTACGAAATGAATTTCTCTGATATTACTAAGAAATTTTTTTTTGGAAAATGTATAATGTGTGTGTGTGTGTGAGAGAGAGAGAGAGAGAGAGAGAGTGTGCGTGTGCGCGCGCATTAATATTTCTAATATCAATTTCTTTGTATTTGTGTTTAAATTAAAGCCTATGTGATATATCTTTTATCCAATATAATTTAAATTTTATTTTAATTGTAAATCAAATAATACTAAATATATTTCAGTAAAATTTTGCAGTGAGAAGTTGTTTAAGTATATTGGATAATACTATTTTATTTCATAAATACAAATACTAAACCATAACAATATTAAATGGTTTATGAGTTTTTTGAAAAGATGTGATTAATAAATTTAATAGTATTAATAAAAGCTAAGAATTGGATAAATTTATAATTCTAATCTGATGGAAACTACCATTCTGCCACGTCATCGCACATTAGGGTTCTTACTTTTATTTTAGGGCTGGGCCCTGGCATTTCACATGGCGATGGCGATGGAGGGGAAAAGAGAACGACGCGGCAGATTGACTGGCTGGTGCTGCATCGGCATCCGCGCTGGGAACGGCAGTCACGGCATCAGCGTCAAGTAAGAAATCTGCCGCTTTTTTCCCTCTTTCTTTCCCCCTTTTTCTCTGTCTTCCACACTGGCTTGGCACCTAATTTCTATCTTTTCTAGTGGCGCCTTTGATGGCGCCCCCGCCAAGTCTAGCCAAGGACGCCGCGAAGCTATGCGCTGGTACTACACTCACAAACAGTCTCTCGGGTTTGGCCCCATTCTCTCCTTTCTTTCGTCTTTCTCGTCTTTCTTTCTTATATGCCTTTGGCTCCAGGAAGATTTACCAGATCTGTCAACTTCCGTGGACAGAGAGATCCCTCCGGCTGGGAATTCGAAGAGGGCGATGAATGGGAATTGGAGAATGAGGAGCCGGAGCTTGTAAAAGCCTGGATCCGGCAGGATGGTCTTTTTCAAGAGCTGCTTTCGAGCTAGAACCTCTGCCGACAGGTACTTCTGTTGTCGAGCTCTCTCGCGTTTTGGATTGGTGTTGGATACGAGGAAGCCAGAGTCCTTCATTTCCTACTTGATTGGATCTCTTTCACTTCCAGGTCGCAGGATGCCGGGTGGAGATTGTTTTCGCTCAAGGAGCTCCAGAACGCGAGCAACAATTTCAATTACGACAACAAACTCGGGGAGGGAAGGTTTGGCAGCGTGTATTGGGGACAACTCTGGGATGGATCTCAAGTAAGCCGCAAAGAAAAGAAGAAAAGTTCACACCTTTACTCTTCCTTCTTCATAGCGGGGGAATTCACTGCGACGAAATTAATGTGTTTGGCAGATTGCGGTGAAAAGACTAAAGCTGTGGAGCTCCAAGCGAGAGATTGACTTTGCTGTGGAGGTCGAGATCCTGGGAAGAGTCCGTCACAAGAATTTACTGAGCTTGCGTGGTTATTGCGCCGAAGGCAAAGAGCGTCTTTTGGTGTACAACTACATGCCGAACTTAAGCTTGTCAGCGCATTTACACGGACACTTGGCCGCGGAGTCAAACCTCGACTGGGAAAGAAGGATGAACATCGCCATTGGCTCTGCCGAAGCTCTAGCGTAAGTTTCTCGATTCCATCTTTTTCCTTTGCTACTGAGAACTAAGTTTCGCACGAATCTATCCAGGTACTTGCACCACCACGCAACGCCTCACATCATCCATGGGGATTTGAAGAGCAGCAATGTGCTCCTCAATGCGGAGTTCGAAGCACAGGTAGCGGACTTTGGATTCGCGGAGCTTGTGCCAGAGACGAGCACTGTAAATGCTGGGGCCATGGGGTATTTTCCACCGGACCACGCGACTCCAGGGGATGGTAAGCTGTCAGAAAAGAGCGACGTTTACAGCTTTGGAGTTTTGCTCCTCGAGCTGGTGAGCGGTAGAAAGCCAGTGGAAAAGCAGGGATTTTCCGCGAGCGCGAAAAGCGTGAACAGCAAAAGCAGCAGCGGTGATAAGACCAACAGCGGCAGCAGTGGTGATAAGATCACAAGCAGCGACAGTATCGACGTCAAGAGCAGCGGCAGTGTCAAGCAAAGTATAGTCGAGTGGGCGACTCCAATGATCTACGAGGGAAGGCTGGATGATATCGCGGATCCAAAGCTCAGCGGGAACTTCAACGAGGTGGAGCTCAAACAGGTCGTTCAAGTGGCTCAGTGGTGCTCGCAAACGAGCCCCGAGAATCGTCCCAGCATGATCAAAGTGGTGGAGCTGCTCAAGAAAGTGCGAGACGAGAAGATCAAAGCTGACGATCACGATGGATAGTGGTGTGGCGCTGCTCAGAAACTTGCGAGACGAGAAGATCAAAGCTGATAGAATGACGAATCGATCGAAGAACAGGGAGAAAAAATGCTGGCGAGAAGATTGCTGTAAATTTTATATTCTTTTGGGTGTGAAGTTTCGAGAGAGATGGATGCCATGATTTTTTGGATTGCTGTAATCCTTTCATGGAAGTTTCGTGAGAGGGTCCACCTGGAAATACCGCCACGTGTCGGTGGGGATTAAACTGGAAACCATGGCTGGATATACATTGTATTCGTAGATGTATAGGTAGTGTGTGTTAATTCTTTTTTTCCTTCTCTTCTATCTTCGCTTCCCCCATTCTTTTCCTCCCTTGTTCGCCTGCCTCGAGTGGAGCAAGAGGACGCAAGCGCAATGCGGTGCCGGGCGATTCGCGGGCTTAGATCGAGAGTGTTGTGATCCAATCCATTCTCGCTCGGATTTCCCCGCGGCAAGAGCCCTAGTCAGCTCAATTTCGAGGTATGTGGCCCTAGAAATCGCCATGGCTGGAGATTAGGTCTGTAGCAAGAGGAGCAAGAGCGTTGCTTGCGCGTTTCTAGCGTTTCTTTCTTTTGGTTTGGTGCTTCTTCGCCAAGTTTTTTTTTATCTATTCATTTTTTTTTTCCTCGTCTTGGTTCTCTGTTGGTTCTTATTTTGTTCTTCAAAGAGAATTATGGAAGTTATCGTGGAAGGTGCTGAGAGGGATTTTTCGTGAGAATGCGAGCAGCGGCAGTGTAGAGCCTCTGATTCGATGGTCGTGAAAAAAAAACGTATATATGCAGGGAGAGCATTCTTTTGGGATTATGACAGCTTGAGTTGAGAAACTCGTCCTCTCGCATCATGAATGGGCCTTGGAAGGAGAATTTCAGTGGCGGTGGCTTCAGGTACTCTCTTTCTTCTATTATTTCTTTTTGTGTTTTTCTGTTGTTTTTTTTGGTCTAGGAAACTAAACTCTGGTTCTTGTTGTTCAGTGAAGATAGACGTTTCTCGTTTGGGTACTGCGGGCAGTGCGGGAAAAGGGCGTCGATGGAGGATTTCATTGAAGCCAGGATAGCCAAAGTTGATGGTCAGGAAGTCGGACTCTTTGGAGTGTTTGACGGTACGAGCTATGTGTTTGTGTGCTGTTTCTAGCGTGTGGTAATGTCATAGTTTGCTTGGTGTTGTCCTAGGACACGGAGGGCCTCGAGCTGCCGAGTTTGTAAAGAAGAACCTCTTCCAGAATGTGATCAGCCATCCTCAATTCACGAGCGACATCAAGTTTGCAATCGGTAGATGATCGTTTATCTTCTTTCTCTTGAGGTGCCAAGTGTGTCCTTGTTTTCCTGCAGCTGACACCTACAAGCAAACAGACGATGACTATCTAAAAGACGAGAAGGACCAGTTCAGAGACGCTGGAACCACGGCTTCCACTGCACTACTGGTTGGCAATCAGCTCATTGTCGCCAATGTTGGAGACTCGAGAGCCGTAATGAGCAGGGCTGGCGAAGGTAAAGATCATCACTTCATTTTCTCCTCTTTTCTTTTTTTATTTTCCTTCTTCTTTTCTCTTATCTTTCGGAAATGTGTTTCATTCTTCAGCTGTGCCGCTGTCAATCGATCACAAACCAAGCAGACTAGACGAGAAGGAACGGATTGAGAGTGCGGGAGGATTTGTAACATGGGCTGGTAAGTGGGGCTACTTTTTTCATTTTTTTACACGTAGGTTTGCGTGTTTTGTTCTGACACGCCAGCTTATGTGTGTGCTAATAGGCACCTGGCGTGTGGGAGGCGTCCTGGCAGTTTCACGAGCGTTTGGAGACAGGCTCTTGAAGCAATTCGTTGTTGCCATTCCAGAGATAAAGGTTCGAAGCTGTTTTTAGGAAGTCGTCGATTCTAAACTCTCTTTATTTTAGGAGGAGGTGATAACGGAAGATGTGGAGTTTTTCGTGATCGCCAGCGACGGCCTATGGGACGTGGTCACGAATCAGGTGGAGTTTTGTTCTTCTTCTTTTCTTGTTTCAATCCCTTCAGGCCAAAAGTCTGAAGTATACCTGGTTCTTTTTGTCTTTAGGAAGCCGTGATGCTTGTCAAGTCGCTGATGGATCCCGAGTCGGCAGCCAAGAGACTAACGCAAGCAGCGATAAAAAAAGGAAGCATGGACAACGTCAGCTGCATCGTCGTCCGCTTTAATCACGACAAGCAGCCGGAAGAGGAAATCCTTCCCCAAAAGCCCGAGTGACAAAGAAGACGGTGCCTGTGTTGTTTTGATGTTTTCTTTTTGTCCCCTTCTCTCTCGCTCTCTCATCTCCCAGGAACTATTAATCTGAAATGGGACGCCAAAATCTAGCCAAAGAGAATAAGAGTTTTGGTCTCTCGTTATTCCATGGAAGCTAAAGTTCGTCCAAGATCACGCCACCGTGGCAGCGGTTAGGCCTTTTACCACGCCAATGGAGAACGCGGAAGAAACTCCAGCAGTGCCGCGGGAAGTCGGATCGTTTTCGCGCGAATTCTCGCTCGACCAGCTCAACCAGGTGCTCGCCTTCGCATCTAGCAGCGTCGAAGAGGCTGCAACGCAAGTACTCAATCGCTGCGTCTCACAAAGGATAAAACCAAAAAGAACAAAAAGAAGAAGAAAAGTTACCTCTATTTCTATCAGCAAACTGTCAGTGCTGATCCACTGTGCTTGATTCACAGATGTCTCGCCACGATCCTCATGCTGGACGACTACAAGATAAAAGCCAGGAATGCGTTTGTCCTCGATTATTGCCTGGGGATCATAATGTAAGTGCCTACCTTTTCGAGAAAGAAGGATAAAAAGGCTGGAACAGGTTCTCGCAAGAGATTGGGTTTAGCGCAGACCAAACTCTTCAGCTGTATGCTCTGGGCCTGGACATGCTAGACATTGTCAAGAGTAAGAAATGGCAGCGAATTTCTAGAGGATTTACCTTCGACTGAAGTGCAGGGAACGGCTCGTTTGACGAGGCACAGACGGCTTTCCAGGACAAGATGATGTTTCTCAGCTGCCGCGAGTGCGGGAACGAGAACCCGTCCTTCACCACTCAAGTGGACGTCCAAAAGGCAACCGAGTTTTTCACCTCAACGTGAGCACAACCTCAAAGTTAGTATTATGAACTTCATGAACGATATCTACAGTGCTTTAACGAACAAGAAAACTAAAACTTCAGAAACTTACCAGCCAGGGCTCTCCAGATTTTTCCAGCACTACTTCCTCTACGCCTACTGCTTTAACAAGGAGCACTGCCATGTAACAAAGTCAGAGACTGTGCACATTGAAACAGCTCTGGTCTTACCTTTGTCGGAGTCCTTGATCACCGAGGAATACGAAGCTGCCCTCGTAAGAAGCCTTCTATACTACTTAGAAAGAAAGACCCAAAGTACTGTTTCTGTTTCTCTCGCAGGCAGCAAAGGCAGCAGCGAAGGCAGCAGCTGAAGCGGAAGAGAAAGCCAGACAAGACGCAGCAGCCCAGGCAGCAGCGGAGGCAGCGGCGGCGGCAGAAGCTTTGAGACTGGCCGAAGAGCGTAAGAGAAAGCCAGAGACACTCGAAGAAGCAGTGGAGTTTGTAGTCCGCGAGAAGATGGAGGTGGCAAAGCAGCAGCTAGCGGAGGAGTATAGCCAGCGAGAGCAAGCACTCGTACAAAAGTTTCAGGAGCTATCCCCAGCAGCGGCACCAAAGGCTGAGCCACCGAAGAAGAAGAAATAGCTAAAACGTTCGATGAAAATTAAAACCGAGGAAACAAGTGCATGATGCAAAAGTTCTATTGTAGTACCTGTGCGTCATTGGCACTACATATGCCTATTCCTACGGCTCATGCTTGCTTGACGCTGCTCCCTGAAAAGACGAAGGATACCAGCGGCCTAGAAAAGAGTCAAAACAGGAAAAGAAGGAAAGTAAGAAGAAAAGAAAAGAGAGAAGAAAAAGAAAGACGGACCTTTTCTTTTGCTCGAGAAGTTCCAATTTGTGAAAGAATATATAGCGGAGGAAGAGCACCCTCTTGCAAAGTCGTCCTCCTGTACTTGGGATTGTTGGTGCACAATTGCAAGAGCGCGGCCGCAGCGCGTTCTTTGGCGAGCGGCGAGCCAGCTTCCACAACTTCCACCAGCGGAGGAATCCCTCCCTCTTCACCGATGGCCATTCTCCCCTCGGGAATGCTCGACAGAGTCACCAGCACGTCAACCGCCCTGTCCACCATTCCCATCCTCGGCTCGCAGATGAGATTTATCAGTGGCTTCACTCCTCCTGCCGCTACTATCCTCACCTTGTTCTCCCGGAACAAGGAAAGGTTGTGTAGCGCTAATGCTGCGTCTTTTTTCCCCCGTGGGGTGCCAGTTCTCAGCAAGTCGACCAGTGGAGGTATGGCGCCACGAGCACCGATTTTTTCTTTGTAGTCTTCCACAGAAATACTGCAAAGCGTGGCTGCCGCATTTTCTCTCGCGTCACTGGTCCCAGACTTGAGGACGTCAATCAGCGGGTCAATCGCACCAGCCTCGGCGATCTCGGCTTTGTTGTGCTCGTTGAGAGACAAGTTCAGCAGTGCGGTTACAGCGTTCTCTTGAGTCTGTGCGTCTCCGGACGAAAGAAGAGCGATGAGGGGAGTGATGCCTCCTGCATGCGCGATCCTGTTTCTGTCCTCAATACTGTTCTTGGTCATCACACGTAACTCAGAAGCGGCACTTCTCTGCACCTCCAAGTCCGTAGAGGCCAGGTTCTGAACGAGCCGTTCAATGCCAGCGTCAGCTACCTTATCACCTCCTGCGTAGACGCTCTTATAGCTCTTCCTTTCTTTCTGCTTTGACGACTGCATTTGCCTCGTAAAGATGGGAAAGTGATCCGGACTGTTGCGTGACGGTGACAATCCCAGGGCCTCCACTTCACCAGACAGTTCGCTACTGTACGTGCTGGAGGATCTCACTCTCATCACAGGCCCGCTCGGCATCCTTTTCTCATAAACATCATCTTTGTCTTTTCTGCGGCCACTGACAATACCAGTCGAGCTACCGTGGTCCGAGCTACGTTCTTCACAGTCAGTATCCAGACCACTGGGAATGACCGAGGTATCCTCACGTGCCTCTTCTGCCTCGGAAAACGTTGGTGGCAGCCAGTTTGTAGACTTGACCGCATCCACTTTCGGCAAAGGAACGTCGTTTGTCTGGCACCAGCTCGCTATCAACGCCTTAACGGTGTAGTTCGGTATGAGATTGATATGTGCCAACGGTTTTCCTGTCTTGGGACACCGAGTGTTCCCTTGATCCAACCAGTGCTGAATGTAGGCCCTCTCATAAGTCTGTCCGGAAGCCACGATTACGGGGTCATACATGAGCTCCAGCGACAGAGGGCATCGAAAGTCTGCCGGGATTTGCACCTCCTGTGACTGCGTCTCACCCTTGACATTCCCATCGTCGAAATTGTCTTCGGCCAGCTGCATGAAGAGTGATATCACCTGGTCGATAAACTCTTCCTCCAGCTTGTCTTTGTTCCTCCCGGCCTCACCTCGATCCTTCTCTAACGCGTTGAGCTCTTCAGATATCTGTTCCTTGGTGGTGATTCCCAGGCACCCAGCTAGCTTGTCCAGCTTCTCACGACTGGCCTTCCTCCCTTCCCTGTGATCGCACAGCAGCGCCTCGATCTCTTGTCTTATCTGTTCTTCGAGCACGTCCTTGGAGTAACTTGCCTTTCTTAACTCGAGCACACAGTTCTCCGCCTGGAAGTTGCACAAGAAACAACAAAGCAAAAATATAAGTTTGAGATTGTCGAGAGCATGGCTGTGCGTACCATGCACTGGACTTGCTTCGATACTCTCGGCAAAGCTAGTCGCGACGCCGAAAGGATGGTCTCGATCTCCGCGCTCAGCTCTTGGAACTGGTCCACACATTGAGGACTTTTCAAGAACTAGGAGACAAACCAAAGTAAACACTTCAGTGCCATTTTCTTTCCCAAAGAGAAGCTTACCGAGTAGATCTTGCTTCCTTTGCTGCATTGCCCAAGAACTTCCTTGGCCCCCTGGAGCGCCGACTGGAGCGATCCAAACGCCTCGATCGTGGCGTCGGACAGCGGGAACTTGGACTGCCGGAGCTCATCAAAGAGCTGCTTGAGGAGCCGGAGCTGCGCTGCCAGGGCCAAGCAATTCCCCTGCTGCGACTTGGCACTCTCGCACATATGAATGATCATACGGATGGAGAGCGCGATGTCCACCAGGAGCGTCCCATTCTCCATGACGGCCCCAAAATCCTGGCGCCAATGTGGATCCCTACAAGCAGACAATCCAGCCGTCCCCGGCACGATCGATACTGTGGACGATCGTCATCCCCCATGCCGCCAAGGCGCAAGAATGATAAAGTATTGGAATCGCGAGCTCCGTCTTGACAAATCGATCCATGGACTCGCACTCACCGCCGAATCCCGCGCACTTCCTCCACCGGTAGCACAACGCGTGAACGCGATCGATCGATCGTCCGGAGCGGCTGACCTTGACCGTGAGAGAGAGAGAGAGAGGAGAGAGAGAGAAGATCCAAGAACCCTAACGCCGGCCAGTGGGCGAGCACGAGACTAGAACCTGAGACCGCTGACCATTCAAGCCCTAGCTTTTTTCCGCCACGTGGCCACCTGTCACACCACTCGATGGAGAAGGATGGTACCATGAGAAAATCTGTGTCGCATTGACGCGACCACCGGATAAAAACCGAGGAAAGATTTACAAAGATTTACAACGAAAGTTTTACAAGAGATTATAACAAAGAGGAGCTCTTCTTCCTCTCCATTTTCTAGCCCTATTGAGGAGATGGAGCGGCGGGGTGGCGCTAGGGCGGTGCCGCGCAGCTGAATGCCCCGCCAGGGCCAGGAATGGCGGATCAGAGCGCCGGGGACGCGGTAGGATGGTCGGATTACCCTGCGCCTGTGGAAAGTGGTATGAGCGCCAGCGATTCTCCTAAATCTCCTCTTTTGCTCTATAGATTAGATGCCCCAATTCGATGGTTTCCTCCTACGATTCATCGCCAAAGCCTACATTTCTTTTCCTTCCCGTGCTAGATTCATGATCATGGTTTGTGTTGTCCTTCTAGATCCTAGATATTTTTCTCTCTCTCTCTCGCATCCGGAGATGATCGGTCTTTGTTTTTTCTGTTTTGGCAGACGACTGGTGGGGATGGGATGCTTCTTCTGCTGCTCTATACCTTCCCGAGATTGACAATGTCATGCAGTGGGACGACTCTGGAGCTCTGGAGGCTCTACAGTTTTCAAGGGAACGTAAGCGTGCCAGGGACTTAAACCTGCCATGCAACGTCCCGTCTCTCAAGCCGGACGTTTTCAACGAGAAGATCGATTGGAACACGAAACCAGGCAAGTTGTCCAAGGAAGCTGCCGAGGCCTGGGCTTTTATCGTCGAGGCGGACAACAGGGCCAACACTCGTCGCAAGGGTGGAAAGTATGGCCGACGAAAGCTCGACAGTACCTACGCGCAGGCGAACGAGTCAAGAGAAGAGGTAACGTTGCCTCCGACGGGATGGGACCTCCCGCCCAGTCCCGAGAAGCAGCAGCATTCTCAGCCAAATCCATGGCGAAGCAGTGACAGGGATGCTTTCCAAGCCAATCCATGGCGGAGCGGTGACAGAGATGCTTTCCAAGACCGGCAGCGGTGTAGAGGCTGGGAGAATCGCTACAATCAGCCTTCCTCTTCGAGCTGGAGGAACAGCGGTGCCAGGAACTCGAGACACTGGCAAGAAAACTCGTACAAGACAGGTATGGAGCTCAAGGTTTTCGCATCTCAAGCTGACGTTTTGATGGATCAGGAGTATGGAGGCCCAAAACCAGCAACAATTACTCAAACAACTGGCCGCAAGGAAGCTCAAGGCAACAGCCAGCCGCAAGAGATGAATGGAACAAGCAGGAATACGAGCACAGGCGATGGTAGGCATTGTGGTGAGTTTTTCTGAGCTCTTCTTCTATCTTTTCCATATTTTATAGGATAGGATGAATTGTTATCTGTACAAAGGTGAGATTCGTGGCAATAGCCAGAGAGCTTGTAGAGACCAAAGTGTTCGTGAGTGGAAGATTTTTTGTTATGAAATACAGGTTTTTTTTTCCTTAACTTTGCGATGGTGTTGCTCGGGTCCATCTTAAAAGTCTCTCCGGCATCGATGGGGTCTACATGCTCCAGCAAATCAAGTACGAATAAAATGGCATGCTGCAAAGTCGTTCCTCGTTCTTTGCTCTGCCAGATCGATCATAAGGTAGTGATGTTTATCTCCCAAGCTCATCAAGTCATTGGAAGGCATATTTTTCAAATATCATTCTTATACCAGATGCGCTGACTGAGCATCCGTGTCAAGATAAACAGCTGTGGAGATGCGACTAGGAATTCTTTTCCATCGCGTACGTAAACAGCTGTGGAGATGCGACTAGGAATTCTTTTCCATCGCGTACGTAAGTGTGATTCCTCCGTCCGAGCTATGCAAACCTCTTGATAGAACTAGATGCTCTCAAACAAAGACCAATTTCTGAAAGAGGTTCGTCTCATCTCGAGCTTAGCCACCCGCAGCGCTCGATTGTGTCCAGAGGATTATCTTGATAGAAGACGTGGTAAACGATACCCGGCCGACTACTGGAGAGGTCGTCCTCCCAAACTGAACAGGAATTCCATCAACCTGGTGACGGAGACTGAAACTCTGGGAGACTTGTTTTCCTTGGTCATTCTCCTCGGATATGAGCTGCTTGGACTTCTCCAAAGTGTGACTTTAAGGTTTCATGCGAGCTGCTTCAAAAATGAAGAAAAGAGCGAGATCCATAATGCCGAGCGACTTTCCACCACGACAGATGGTGGCAAGAGGCTCAAGTTCCAGCTGCTGGTGATGACCTCACAACAATGCAACCATATTCTTGCTTGTGTAACATCTCAGATTTAGCATCCATTCCAGTGTCGCATTGTTCTCTCTCAATCAAGCGAACGCTTCATGGGCAGTAGCATTCGTAAAACAGAAAAACGACAAGTTAAATTCGCAAAAAACAAAGTAAAAAAATTAGATATTGAAATTAGGAATCTATATCAATCGGTTTTATGAGGATGGCATTGGTACTCCACAGCCGGGCAATAAACTCACAGTTGGAATAATATAATTAGGAATGAGTTTAGAAGAAACTGCATAAAATCGCTGAGTGAAATGAGTGCCATCAAATAGTAAATATTCAGTTGGATTGTTGCATACAGTACCACTCGGTGATCCACAACCACATAATGCTGTATTATAATCAGTAACACAATTGAAATCACCTTCAGGTATGCCACAACAAGCCTTGTTTATAACTTTTCCATGTTTTCAATTATATTATTACTTGTGTAAATTGGGTAGCCATTGACTGTTTCTTAGGCTTCTTGAAAATTTTCTTAGATTCGTCATGGCTATGGAGTCGACGACGCAGGCGGTGAAGAGCTTGAAGCAGCGCCTAGGAGAGATCGAGGCGCTGGGAGGAATGGGCAATCTCCTCTTCTGGGACAAGGAGGTAATGCTCGCGGCAGGAGGCCATGGCGCCAGGAAGAAGCAGATGGAGACCCTCGCGCTCGTTGCCCACGAGCGCAGGACGAGCAAGGAGCTGGGGGATTGCCTGGATGCGCTCCACAAGCATCCGGATCTGCGGGCTGTGCTCTCGCCAATGGAGGCCGCGACTGTGAGGGAGGCGAGGAGGGACTACACGCGCGCGACGAGAATGCCGACGGAGCTAGAGGTGAGATTGGCGGGTCTGCGATCTTCCGGCTACGATGCGTGGAGCAAGGCTCGGGAGACGAGCGATTTCCAGATCATGGCACCGGCGCTCGAGGAATGGCTGGAGGCTCTCAAGGAGGAGGCGGCAGCGGTGGCTCCGGAGATGCGTCCCTACGACTACTGCCTGGACAAGTTTGAGAGGGGCGCCACGGTCGAGAAGATCGACGCCATGTTCTCGTCGATCAAGCAGCCGCTCATCGATCTGCTGCGAAAGGTGGTGGCCGAGAACAAGAGCGTGGCAATCCCAGGCTGGAGCGAGCTCAAGTTCCCGCTGGATTCGCAGAAGAAGCTCGGCGAGAAGATCGTCCGGGAGATGGGATTCAAGCTCGAGAATGGCAGGCTGGACAACTTTGGCGGTCACCCCTCGACGACTTCCGTCTCCAGCCCGACCGATGTGCGCCTCACCACTCGCTACCTCGAGGACAACTTGATGTTTGGGATTGGAGCGACGATCCACGAGGCCGGGCATGGATTGTACGAGCAAGGCCGGGACTTGGAGGCCTCGGAGAACGGGCTCATAGCCTCCGGGCCCCCGACCTTGGGACTCCACGAATCCCAGTCGCTGCTGTGGGAGAGATCCGTGGGACTGAGCCGCGAGTTTTGGAGCCACTACTGGAGCCGCGGCGTCGTAGAGGCCTTTCCGGAGCTGGAGAGCTCGCTGGGGAGGATCAGCCACAAGGATTTCTACCGCCAGATCAACGTGGTGAAGCCCGGCTTCCAGATCAGAGTGGACGCCGACGAGCTCTCGTATCCGTTGCATGTCCTGCTGCGCTACGAGATCGAGAAGGGGCTGTTTGACGGGAGCTTGAGCGTCCAGGAGATCCCGGGAGTTTGGAAGGCCAAGATGGAGGAGTACGTTGGCGCTGCCCCAAAGGATGATGCCGAGGGGTGCTTGCAAGACGTGCACTGGGGGATGGGAGCTTTTGGTTACTTCCCAACTTACGTGATTGGAGCGATCTATGCGTGCCAGATCTTTGATGCTGCGGACAGGGATATGGGTGGCGAGCTCCGGCAACAAGTTGGAGAGGGAAGGCTGTTGCCACTGAGAGAATGGCTCCGGGATAAGATCCACAGGGTTGGGAGTGTGTATGAGACTGCGGAGGAGCTGGTGGAGCTGGTCACTGGCAAGCCTATGGATACGGGGTTGTATTTGGGCCATCTTACCACCAAGTACGCGGGCATATACTTGAACGATAGCTAAATGGCTAGTGTTTTCACTTGCAAAATTTACAATAAATGAGAATCTCTGGATTGGAAGTATCAAACTAGACGGTCATTGCCTGGAGAGGAGGGAGTACACATTTGGGTACTGCTTCCCACGAATACCATACTTGCGCTCGGTCCGGCATTCGTTTTCCAGCCATGCCCTGGCTCCGTGGGGCTGTTCCTAGGCCTTTTTCAAGAGTTTCTGCTTCTCATGGGGAATGGTCTTAACACTAGCTTGATCGCCACGCTGGTACATGAGACGTGCTTTTCTCCTTCGTTCCACTTCTACCTTTCTCAGGTTGCCCAGCTTCTTAAGAATGTCGATTAGGTTGGTAAAGCTCAAGCTCATGCGTCGTGTACGCTACCTCTGCACTGTGTGAAACAGCTGCGCGCTTGGTCGGGCCTGGGCAGATGTACACATAGTGCACCACGCGGTGTCCAGTATACCAGCGTTGAACCTCTCCTTGCATCACAAACTTGTACTCTGTCTTCCTGTGTGTTTCCGGACTAACAGTCACCTGCAGTGCAAGGATATGTAACACTCGCTGCTCGTTTACCCACGCTAGCATGCCATCGACATACTTGAACGAGTACTTCCCAGGCAACATGTATCTTGCCTGGTGCGGCTTCCATTGATATGGCCTGATCACTGCTGGTTCACCCTTTAAAGCCTCCAGCTTGAACACTTCGATTTGTTCCCTTGGAAGTTCAACCCGATAGCCTGGATAGCCTCTCCGACAAAACCCTCGCAAGCCCACCCCACTTCCGGCCAAATCACGTTGGCTTTCTTGAGTTTGTGCAGAAGGTTGTTCTTGAACTCTGGTGAGCGATAGACTGTGCCCTTCAAGCACTCTAAAGCCGCTTCTGCATGTACTGCATGGAGATAGCTGGTGCAAAAAGATCCATTGCGAACAAAGCCCTTGAGCACAGATGCGGTGCCGAGTATGAAGTATACGTGTTCTGCACATAAAATTTAGTAAGCGAAGTATGGCAGGAGAACTATTACGTGGCCAAAGACAACATACCTCAGCTCATACCGCTGCATGGTATTTCGGATGCCCTGCGCATCAACAGCTTCAAGTGACAAAGCCTTAACTACGACGTCAGAGTAGTAGTCGAGGGCAGTCATCTAGTTTCTCCTTTCCTGTTCTTCAGGTGTGTGTTCTGAACGATCCCAGCGCAATGCATTTAACTTCTCTTGGCCATCGCAAAGCAGAGTAATGTAATCCTGTCAACTGTATATATGGTTGTATTTTCACACTTGAGGTTGCTTTTGTGAGTACAGGCTAGAAAAAGGTGAAAAGGGAAGAAGCTCGCTAAAGAAGCTTCCTGGGAATATTCTGTCTAGAGAGAGAGAGAGATGGATTTCAGAAGTGAGAATTTGAAAGTTGAAGATCTTATCAAGGGAAGTTCTTTAGTGGTGAAATCAAGTCGATCAAAGTTGTGGATGAAGAGTTATTAACTAAAAAAGTCTCAACTATTAGTTGGTGTTTAAGTTTTTGATAGTTTGAAAATTAGGCATGGCCATTCAGTTTTTTTACAGTTCTTGTTCTTGTTTTCTCTCTCTGGTTCTTGAGTTCTTTCTGCTCGAAGATGGTGGGACCTCCCATAGGTTGTCGAGATCCTGTTGCCGATTGCATCGCCAACAACATGCGGATAAGGCACGCAATCGAGGAGCTGAGAATTCGAGAGGAGCAGCAAATTCCAACTACCTATCCAACCTGTGGTCAAGTGTGGTACTGTTACTTATGCGTGATCATAGAGGAGTTACTACAGGCCCAGTGCATTTAGTATGAGTGATTTGTAGTTACTGCTAAAATACAAGCCCTAGGGGAGTCTTTCCAGTCTTTCTTTATTATCGTGTATTTTTCCTGACATTTTTTGGTGTGTTAGCCAGGAGGGCTTAGTTGCAGTAACTGCACAGTAAATAGGGCCTGAGGAAAAGGCCAGTCATCTGCAAGCATCTGCAGTAAGCATCCTTTGCCGCAGCTGGTTCTCGGTCTGGTGGGAAGAACCCCGGATTGGGATAATTTTCTAGATTTTTCTACTAGGAGGCTAG